GGCGCCTGACGCGCGCGGCACCTGTCGCCGCGCCCGCGCGGGATTCGCCAGCTCGCGGGTCTCCTCAGCAGCGCCCAGGTGGCGCCGGCCGCCTTAACTCCTGCGCTGCCTCATGCTCAGACAGCTGCGCGCGCCGCCTGTCGAGGCGGGAGGCGCGGCGCTAATGGTCCCGTCTGCTCCGGAGGCGCAGCCACGCCCCGCCTCTCTTCCACCTCGAGGCGCTGCTCCGCCTTCTGCCTCATTCTCATCTCAGATGGTGGCTCTGCCCCCTACACTGGCACCTCTAGGTACCGCCCAGCCCCCGGCTGGGCTGGCTAAGCTAGGATGGGGAGCGCCTCTGAGTTCGGTGGGGCTCAGCCTTGGGTGACCTCTGGGCGGAGGGGCTGGGAACATTCCTCCCACTCAGGTGTATCCTAGTCAGAATTTAGGTCTGCGTCCCCAGAACAGCTAAGTAGTCAGGAGAGGGAGCCCTGGAAAGCAGGAGGAGGAGCGATGGCTAGGGAATCTCTCGGCATCTTGGTGATGATGACTCAGGGATATGAGGGGTCCAGAAATGTTGAGAGAATGGGGTTATGTGGAGAAAATCGGGAAATAATCTCCCGGACGGAAACATGAAGCAATGAATCTCCCTAAGAGTAGCTACCATGTATTAAGCACTTCCTGTGTGTATCGTGTTAAATGCTTTATATTCATTGAAAACTTAAAGGGACTGCCTTGTTTTCCAGCTCTTGCAAGTTTTCCACCTTTGAAAGGATGCAGTCTTATTACTTTCCTATCCCTCGCTTTGGTAGACAATATTTGCGTTTTCCATTTCTGACATGGATCCGCCTTGCACATGGTTCTGATTTTCTCAGGCTTTACTGTACATTGTACCAATTCATCCTCACTAGAACCTTATATGTAATTACTGCCATTCTCCCCATTTCAGAGGAAGAAATCGAGGCCTGGAGACATGGAGTCATTACAACCAATAGAGTCAGGATTCAGATGCCAGCAAACTGACTTCAGAGATCAGGTAAATCAGTATTCTTTCCTCACATATGAGAAAGGCTGGAGGAAAAGAACTAATAATTTGTCTGTGAACAAGGTGGACAAAGTTACCTAGAAAGTGGCATCAGAAGGATTTCTTGCAGTGAACAAAAAAATATGGAAGAACCTACGGGGTGAATTCCTGTCAGTTCTTGTTTTGTCAGGTTGTTGTCAGGTGCCATCGAGTCGGAAGCGACTCATAGCGACCCCATGCAGAGCAGAAAGAAACAATGTCTGATCCTGGGTCAACCTCACTACTGCTGCCACACTTGACGCCATCAATGCTGCCACCTGGCTGATCCATCTCGGGGGTCTTCCTCTTTTTCTCTGACCCTCCACCTTACCCAGCATGACATCCTTCTCCAGCAACTCTTCTCTCCAGACAACGTGTCCAAAGTAGGAGAGACAAAGCTTAGCCATCTTGGCCTCCAAGGAGCACTCTGGTTGTACTTCTTCCAAAACAGATCTATTGGTACTTTTGGCAGTCCATGGCACTTTCAGTATTCTCCTCCAACACCACAACTCAAAGGCATCAATTCTTGTTAAGACAGGTATTATTTGGTGTCTCCTGTTTTTCTACTTGGATGACAAGTCACTTTTGAGTTGGAGCATACCTTGATTCTTTTCATCCCAGTGAAATTTTGGGACACTAAAAGGCTGAAATGGGTCAAACAGCTTCACATGACATCTTTTGTTAGCTGTCCTTGAGTGGACTCTACCTCATGGCAACCTTGTGAGTAGTAGAATGAAATGTTGCATTGGCATGTTTGAGTCTAGCCAGACAATATTCTATGGTGATCCGTACGGTGTTCATTGGCCTTTCTTACTTAGACTGGAAGCTCTGCTTAAACCTGTCCACCACAGGTGACCGTGCTGGTATTTGACACACCAGTAGAATCAAGTCCAGTATGATAGCAACATGCTAAACTCACTTGACTTATTTCTTATTAAATCAGAGCCTAAACAATATTCAGGTATTCACATTGCTTTCTACGCTGACTGAAGGTAAGAATCCCAAAGTCCTGAGCCTCAGTTGACTTTGCCCACTGCTGATTGGAAAAGAGACAGATAATAGAGTAGTTTTCACATCTGTTTTATAGCTCATTCTCTGTAATTGAAAATACACTGGAATGTTCTAACACTTTTTTATTATGTACCCCTTGAGTAGAAATTGTAGGTGAAATCCTAGCAACTCCCTCTTCTCTTTTTTGAATCACAAAAGGACAAATTTCTCCCTGATCTACACAGTCACACCTATGGAGAGCAAATCAATTTATCAATCAAAAGAGGTTTCATTTCTTTCTTTTTCCTTGATGTAGACATGCAAACTTTTTTTTTTTTTTTTTTT